AACGTTGTCGCGGAGAATCGTTGTGAATGGATATATTCCTTCAAGGTTAGGTGCTCCGTTTTAAAAATGCGGTTCTCCACTTTAGGAATTTCAATCGAGCTGACTTTTTACAAGTTAAATTCTCTTACCGTGAAACGATCGAATTGTTTTTTACAGAAAAAAAAAAGAAAATGAATTCATTCATCGAATCTAAGTGCGATACAGTAATTCTAAGTACGTATACTAGAGCGTGTACACGATCCGCTGTACGTATACTGTGTATTTGTCCGTGGCTTAGGTCACGAAAGATCGCGTAGATAGCGTTCGGCGTTTACGTGCGCCCAGAAAAACGCCGTATCGTTATCATTCGTCTTCTCTCCCTCTTCTCTACTCCTCGTAAACAGTGTCTTTGACTCCGGGTTCTTTCCGCTTCGTTTCTCTTTACGTCGTTCACGCGACGTCGTTTTCGTCTAACAATTAATCTCTTGTCAAACGTACTTTTTTAACCCTTATGCCAATAACCGGGTACCCTTTTGCATAATTCTCACTTCAAATATTTCATCTTCGAGGTAAAGGATTGAAATATCCGGCCAGATCGTTGTTATTTCTCACAGTTCCCATACATCGTTCAAAATAAGAGTTCGTCCGTTCTGCGCATAGACAGAGAGCGTAGCAGAGGGTAAGACGGAGAAAAACGTAGGCGGTTAAGTGGGGGTTTGGACGTACTAGTGGTTCTAGCCCTGCCTTAGGCACGTCCCATGCGCGAAGCGAGGTTACTCTTATTTTGAACGATGTATATCAGTGTTTGCCTCGAGTTTAGAATTTTGTTATCAGAAAACTACTAAAATTGGACGATAAAGTAGACGACAATTGTGGTTATCGACGTAAGGGCTAATCTTCACGAGAGAAATTCGTAGGAATAGAACGTAAAACCGGAGAAAAGTTTGAAATCGAGAGAACAATTCACGTGCATCGCCGATACAAATTCTTTATCAATGTTTACCCGGTTTCATCGAGACGACAGAAGCAAGAAGGAGAGAACGCGTGTGTCGCTCACCGTGACCGTTCGATAAAAATTGCACGGACAATATATGTATATATATTGCGGCGGTGTGTGGCGCTTTGAATAACGGCATTCTTTCTTCGGGAACGTAGCTCTCCCCGATCAAGGTCAACTAGGAAGCGGCGGGGCGTTGCAGAGGGACGTAAATGTGTCTTAGTATGTCGTAGGTTACAAATCGTCCAGGCGAGAGGAACTGTAAACAGGCGTAAGGTTAAACGGGCGTGCACACTTAAGTGCATTAATGAACGCGCTTAAGATACGCGGCGTGCCGCCGTTTAAATATAGGCTAAACCAGTGTTTCTCAGCCTGCTCGTTAATACAGGCCTATTTAGAGGTCCCACCGTGACTTTTTGCGTCACGGTTATATCTTCGCTGATGTTTCGCCGCGCGTAAATGATATCGTGAGAAGAAAACGAGGCGCGAGGGCCCTCCCAACACGCGACCAACTTTGATATCTGCCCTCTACTTCAATTTCTCGCAATTTCTATGGTAGTATCTTCTCTGTCGCGAACGTGTTAAAAATTACGTTCGACGCGAGAAAAGTAGAAAAGTGTGCAACGTTGAGAGAAATGAAAATGTCGCGTCCATTGGATCCAGATGTGTTCTCCATGCTTAGGGCTAATTCTTAATTTAGTCTTCAAAGGCGTCGTCGTCGTCGTTTCCAATCGCAACGACCGTACAGACTCGTTAGCAGCTAATTCCTGGAACCGTTAACCGATGCAGATTTCACGATTTCGCGGAGAAAGAGAGAGAGAGAGAGAGAGAGAGAGAGAGAGAGAGAAGGAAAAAGAAAAAAGAGTGGTTCTACGGTGCTCGTCGAATTGATACGCTCGGCAACGGAACGATTGCTAAAGGGAACGGAACACACGGAGCCAGCAACCCGGTTAAAATGTTACACGAGCTTGGCAAACCGGCAGTCTCGGGTGTATGTAACAATGTGGAGCGGCGAACAGGAAGCGGATGAATAAAATTGCGAAAACGAGGGTAACTTTCGCCGTCGTTGTTTCAGCCGTCGCTCCTTTTTCCTCGATTCACGTCCCAAGCTCACCGAGACTTACTTAATTAGACAATTAACCCTTGCAGCCGTTGAAACCGATGGCGTAGAAAACGGTCAGCCTTAGCTAGGCGAAAATTTTTTCTGCTATTTTCTTAACTAGTCCTTCGTTTCTAATTGGCGCTCAAGGGAAAAAGTAAACAATTCTACACTGAAATTGCCGTTTATCTGCCTTTTCCACATTTTCTCACTTCGAATATTTTTCATCTTCCCGGTAAAAGATTTCGGGTTACCGGTTAGATCGTTGTTATTTCGCATATTTTCTATCGAATTTTCTTATCGGGAAACTACTAAAATTTGTCGATAACGTAGACAATTTTGGCTGTCGACACAAGGGTTAACTCGACCGATAAAGTGTCTAATTGAGAAATAGGATGCATCATTTCTACGCGTTCTATTTCCATTTGGCTGGTAGAGGTGGTGAAAATAATGCGAGACGAACGTGTCTCCGTTGGCCACTCGAGAGTAGGTACGTCAGGACGTACTATTATATACCACGCTACGAAAGGTGATCATCGAGCGTAAGAGGGAAGAGGGGAGAGAGTGGAGCGTCGGAACGAGAGGTGGGGAGAGGTAGGACGAAGCGTTTCCACACCGGATATCCTCCCGGGGGAAGTGGTGCACGCGATTCGCATTGCCACGCCCGCGATATAGAATGTACATATATTTATATCGTTAGAAAATTCGTCGATTCTATTACATCGACAAACCTAACCTTTACGTCAGGTTTAACGCGAAAGGGTTGGCAAAACGCCGTGTTTAATTGGTCCAGTCTTTTACGTCTCATTAACCGCGATTTCTTTGTACCTCGTTATCCACTTTTCTTCAATTAATTGGTTAGCCTGAAGGAAGTGTGGTTACTTATCGGGTGTTGAAATCGGCACATCTTCGTTTTATCTTCGTCCACCTGCAAAATTTTCATTTTAATTCCTTCTACAGATAGCGCCTGATAATCCCTATCGAGATAACAGTCGGAAATATTTAACCGCGTTCGAAATTTCTCCGATTATTTTTACGCTCGAGTGAAATTTTTGCTGAAAATTCTCATTCACCAACTTTCTCAATAGGCTGCTACCGAGAGAATCTGTGTACGTGTGCGAGACTGTGTTGTCAATGGATCAGGTGAAGCGAAATGAACGAACGTTCTACGAGAAACCTTGAGTGTCTCCTCTCTCAGCTGGCTGTTTGTATGCATGCGTGGCGAGCATGATTTGCAGCAACGCCAGTGCCACGTTATTAGACGAGTCTGGCAAGTCGCGTTTCTAGATCGCGTTTCATTGCTCCCTTCAATGTCGTCACCTTCTTTTTCGACTCTCTCGAAGTTTACCCTGTCGGTACACGTCTCGTTATATTTCACACTTGATCTATCAAGTAGGATCGTAAAAGTTGCGAAGAGATCCCGGCTGAAAATGTGGCATTTTACAAATCAATCACACGTTTAATATGCTCGCTTCGCGCATTCCAGATTAGAACAGTAGCATTTTTACTACCGAGCAAACCGGTTTAACCATATTTACCGGCCGCCACTAAACTCGTCACCGTCGATGTCTTTTGCGCCTGGCTGTTCTAACCCTACACACAGAGATACGAGACGAGTGGAGATCACTTTCTGTAGCAACTAGACGTGAAGATTTTTATATTATCGACGTCTACCGTACTTGCATCTAATCCTCGATTCGCAAGTCGGTGTGAAAAATTCTTTGGCAAAAATATCCATACGTCGTTGGTGAAAAACAGATAACCAGCGTGACGGTAAACGTGTCTCTACTGTATAAATAGAGGTGTAAGTGCGATTGGCGAATTATGAGTTTGTGAAATGGCGAGTAGATTTCACACGTGGTGTGAAATATCGACGACAAAAGCGTCGATTCGGGACGTGTGCGCGACGCGCAAGCCTTTCTCGGGTGCCGGCGTGAGGAAAAGAGCAGCGCGACGTGATGCAACCCGGTGGTATTTATGGTAATTTTATTTGCAGGAGTCTGGTCGATTTATCTTGACAATATTCCGCTCGTGATTCGAAACTTGCGTGTCCGATTAATACCCGAACTGCCGTGGCTGGGGCTTGGTCCCCGCGCTCTGCGCCGCGCCGCTCCGCTCCGACTTCGGAACGGAAGAGAGACGGTCTGCCTGGAAGCGACAAGGACAGCCTGGTTTATGCTCACTGTCTGCCTTACAACAGCCAGTGGGAGGAGGAACACGCACACACGGCCGCATAAATAACGTGGCACAAGCACAGAGTTACGGTGCGACTTACGTGTAAACGAATAGAGTGAGACGAAGAGCGTGGGACGAGGACCGCCGTACGGGTTGTAAAACAAGAACGACGAAGACGAAAGAGGATGTAGTCGGCGGACATTTACGAAGAGAACCGAGTATGCCCGACATGTGGGAGAGCCCCGTACTACACAGAGAGAGGTATCGGTTTTACGACGTTCGATCACCTGAACGAAGATTTTTCAAGCACCGCGGAGCAAAGAGAGAAATACGGACACGAGAGCAGAGAGAAAGAGAAATAGAGAGAGAGAGAGAGAGAGAGAGATCTCGTCACACTCGCTTCGATATCCTTCAATGAATAAACCGGCGTGTCTCTCTGCCAAACTTCCTTCTGTTTCTATCTGTTTCAGTTCGAGTCATGTCTCTCCGTTCCGCGAACAATCGTCGCGATTATGGAATTTACCGCTTCCGGAATCGATTACGAATTCTTTTTTTTACAAATTCGATATCGATTGTACATGTATACGTGTGTGTATCGGAAATGTTAATATTTTCTTCGGTATATAAAACGATCGGTGTAAAATATCGACAAACTGTATTTGGATAATGGTTATCGAAGGTATGGATATAATAGAAAAGAGAAAATGCAACGTGGGTGTAGAAGATTACACGCGATACATGTGGAAGGAAAGTTGGCGAAAAGTACGTGGGACCCGGTGGAACAGAAGCAGCCCTGGTCGCACAATACGAGCATGAATGAAGTATCGCGTCTGGCTCGTGGGGTACGGTATACTATGGGGAGGCAGGGGGCGCGACGAGGGGAATCGCAGGCGTCACGGTGCTTTCGTGGCGGTGAGGTTCGCCGCGGTCGTGTGTATGCGCGTTTACGTGTAAACGATCACGTGCGTATGAGTGAGCGCGCGCATATGCAAGTTTCGGTAGGATCGAGTGCGCATGCGCACCCCACCCACAGAAAAGACAGGCCGCTGCTCTGCTGTTTGTAACAAGCGGAGAGTCTAGAACGCCACACCAGCGTCGAGCGCAGCCGGCCTCGGCTCGAAACGAGGCACGATTTACTCCTGCTGTGAAAACGAACGGTATATACGGTGGTATTGAGAAAAAACCAACACGATTACGA